GCTTCTCCTCGCTCGCACGTTACCGAGCGGGTTTATTTCTCCCCCAGCTGCCTAAACGCGCTCTTTCCCACGGCGTGCGGCACAGCGGGCAAAGGGGCACCTTGGCTCTTCCCCAAAGGGACCAGAATCCCTGTAGATGCGACACAGCTGGCCCCTGCGGGGTCATTTTCCATTTGGGATGCAAAGGAGAGGCGCTTGGGATGCAGGGACTTTCTTCCAGGGAAAGCAGCAGCCTCGTAACACAGCTCCTTCTCACCAGCCCCTCTCTGCGAACGTAAGCAGGAGCTACGTGAACTCTGGTAGCTTGGAAAAAGCCGTCAGAGCTATAAGGTTGCTGATGGCTAAGCACCATTAATGAATAAATCAAAGGGATTTAACTCGGTTCACCCCAAGGTCAAAGAACCCTCCAGATGGTGACAATTAAGGCCCTTGGAGAAGCCTCACTGCCAGGAGGGAGCTGATGGAGAAAGAGCTTCCCCACACCGACATGGCCATGGCTGAGGGGAGAAGAGCTGGGGCTCCAGTGAGCAATCAGCCGGACAACGGAGCCTCCTCCTCAGCTGTTCTGCTTCAGTCCTGCACGGCTGCTGCTTTGGGGAACCCCTGCTTAACAACTCCAAGCTTTAATGCCGTTTTCTTCAGGGATTTAATCAGTTACCCAGTGTTCTTGGGCACTTCCCGCTTATCACTCTTACTATTTACCTTGCCTCGAGGTGAAGCTAATAGAGGAGCTATCAGCAGGTCCACCTGAGGTTTTGCAGAAGGTGGGCAAAGAGGCAAGTGATGGAGGTAAGTCTGCTAGCGCAAGAGGTCAAAAGTTGTATGGTGCACATGAGGCAGAAAAACTGCCTCCCTGCAGCGATGGACACCCATCCCCAGAAACTGCACTGGCTCAGCAGAGTGCAGTCTCTGGTTTTCGGTTGGTTTGGGGGTTTTTTCCCCCCTCTTCTCAGAAGCACTTGTTTCCACACAGGGATTTGTGGAATACCGCTCACAGGCCCCACGCGGAATGACTCCAAATCTAAGGAGCAACCCAGTGCACAAGCTGCTAGACGCATGGAGGATTTTACATTGGTGGGGTTTTTTGGCGGATGGGGGGAAGTGTGGGGTTTTTTTGTGAGCGAGGGGAATATCAAAGGAGGGCTCAGCCTTGGATCTGGGGCAGCAAGTCATGGCAGCTCTCCGTCTGGGCCGTCTTGGCTGACATGCCCCGCAAGGCCCTCAGGACTATTGCGATTTGGTTGTACACAGTAACCCCTTATGCAAAAGGATCCAGGATACAAACAGTCCATGGGATACCAGACTGGCTGTTAAACAATGAAACCTCATGCTAACAGCGTTTCAGAGCCATTCTAGGATATATGTCTAAAATCTGTCACAACTGGGTTAAACAAAGGAAGAAAGTTGGTATTTGGTGATGAGCAACACCTTGCCCTCCTCAAACGTTTTATGAACACACAGAATCATGATCCTTGTTTTGCAGGTGGAAAAACTGAGCCGTGAGAAATGAGAGCACCTGCCCAAGGAAGCGGCCCCAGAGCCCCCAGTCCCACTACCGCATCCCATGGGCCGCACAGGTTCCCAAGAAGTGCTGAAGTGATCTGGGAATCCAAGGCACTGTTTCCAAGGTGACTTGTTACCCAAATTCTGTCTGCTGGGGAGACTTACTAAACCTTCAGTTACGTAAGCCATATTTCAGACGTGGGGCATGGGAACCAGTCACCCAGTTTAACTCGCTGGCTGCTAATTGCCTCCGCAATGCCGGGAGGTGCACATCTCGGGGCCGGGTTTAGTCCTGGCACTTGCGCTTTGTAAAGTTTTAGACCCTGATCAAGATCTGTTCCTGGCTGCCAAAAGATCTACTGGTGACACCTGGTGCACAGCGCAGATTTCTGCATCTCTACAAGACTGTTTTCAGTTCTACCCTTGACAGAATTGAAGGAGAAAATAGGGAACTTGGGAAGAATCATTTGGATTGATGGATGCAGAGAGAAGAAAGTGTGTGTATGTCGGGATGTATTAATAAACTCCTAAAAACCTGGAGTCCTGCTTTACCTGAGCCATGGTGCTGGAATTCTCCAACCACCCGAGAGCAAAGCACGCTCTTCGAAGCCTCTGCTATCGCAGCCGCTCAGGACAGCCTCTTCTCACAGGAGAGACACAGAGCCGGGCACACCCATCTCACTGCTCCGAGAAGCTCATGACCCCTCTGAAATAAGTGTCTGATCTCTTCTATGGTGTGAGAGCTTTGTCTTAAAGGTATCCATTTCTCTTCACATCTCAAGATTTCTGCATGGGTTCATTTATTTTAAAGAAAAAAACCCCAAACAAACCCCAAAATAAAGCAACCCACAACCGATGTTTGGGGAATCTCATCCCCTGTGCTGCCCAGGGCAAACACGGCTGCGCTGTGCACCCGGCCAAGGGCCACCTGCCCTCACCTCCCAGCCCCCGTGGCCCTTGCAGACAAGGGTGGGTTTCTTGAAAGCAAACTGGGAAGCAGCTCTTGCCCACGGGCCAAGGGGTTCTTCTCCCTTGCTGCTGGCCTTGTCTCCACCCCTCCCTGAAGGATTAAAATCAACAATTCAGGCTACAGACAGCAGGGGTTTATCTGTAGACAGCCAGCCAAGTATTTAGTTCTGTAAACATCTTCAGTAAACCAGTAAGGAAGTATGAAGATGAGATAATGGGGCAGCAGGAATTTACTTCATTTATTTAAAAGGAAGTAAGAAAATGTGTTAGAAGAATAGCTGTGGCCCAGGTTCTAAAGACAGTTTGGGGAGGTTGGTCCAAACTCAGAGGAGCAGTTTCTTCACAAGATGGGCCAAATGCTAATTATTGGGAAAGAAAAAACAGGCCGTGCTAGGCAGAGTCCCCAGGTTGTTTCTTCGACCTCCAAACTCAGCTGACCTTGCCGGTGGCACTTCTGCTTATCTGCAAGCACACAGCTCAACGCAGCGTGTGTGGGGGAACCCCACAAAACCCTGAGGTTGGATCTAGTGACGATGTTTGCACAGCTTGTTGTCTCAGGCCACCTGACTCCCATACAGTTTTGCTGCAAACATTTTAAGTAGCACCTTAGAGAAACTCCTTGCCATTTTTCAATAAGGCACCACTTTAAATAAACATTAAAATTACTGGTTCTCTGTGTTGCTGACATTTGGAAAACACTCCACGAGAACAGGACCCACAAGACACCCTCTCAGCAGCTCATTCTGCCGAGCGGCAGCCTCTCCCCAGGGAGGAGAAGCAGCGAGTGCCCACACTGCTGCTCCAGCACCCACCTCCCAGGCACCTCGCTCCTGGGCAGTGGCTGCAGACAGTGCTCCAGCTGCTAAGACCACCTCTTTGCTCAGAACTAAGATTTTTTTTAAAAAAAATTATAGAAAAAAGTCATTATATATAACACAAGATCAAGGGTAAAGCCTACAAGACCACTAAAAAATGAAGTAGATCTGTTATGCAAGTAACACTTTAAAACATGAAGATGTAAAAAAAAAAATTATGAGAATATTTCATTCCAGATATGATTTTATTCTGAATTTTACAAATAACAAGCATTTTTCTATTAAAAAAACCCTAGGGTTAGAATCAGTTTAGTTAGAGCTAGGAATATTTACATCCTTAGAAGACATTTCTCTATCTTTCTATATACAAGGCCGTGGCCGCTATTTGTTTGTAAGGCATTAGGGTGCCTGAGCTGATTCTGTGCTTTGAGAAAACCGCCTACAACTGCCAGGATTAAGGTTCTATTCCACAAATACTGAAGCAGGTATTTATTCGCAGAGACAGTGCCATCAGTTTCCCCAGGCGCTTTACTGCACTCACGTGCGTAGGCCCCTGGAGAGCACGGAAAAGAGCAGCCCCGCCGGGGGAGGCCACAAAATGGAAGCGGCTGTAAATAGAGATGGGTGTAACTCACATTAACCTCAAATTCCATGAGATCAGTGATAGAAGAATAGCATCGTCATACCTCAGAATGGAAGTCCTCTGAAAAGAACGCTATCTTTACAATGTCGTTAGGTGCACGGTGAAAGTGTTCAGTAATGCCCCCCCTCACAGGCAGTGCTGCAGTGTTGTGTAGAACCATGAAGGGGCTGTGTAATTAAAATACGATTAAGCATTCAAAACCCAACCCTTTCTTGACTTACTGCAGTCTAGTTCCCTGGGCAATGCACCACCTCCCTCTGCTTTCTTCTTCCAAACAGGTAACTTGGTAACAGGGGAGGAGGCGTTCACACCTCTTAACAAAAATAGCGTCAGAAGTCATCCGAAGCTGCCCGCTTCTGAAAGACGAAATACTAACTGATGCTCACTGAGCATTACATTCACCATCGGGAGAACCAAACAGAATCTAACGAGCATAAACATCACGAGAAATCATGGTACCTTTTGAGTTAATGGTATTTCCACTTGTAAGCAAAGAAACTGAAGTCACAGGATTCTGCGATGTGCCCAAGATGACGAAAGAAGTCAGTCTCCGAGCTGGAAAGGAAGGGATCCTAGTTCCCAGCTCAAGGCCATAAGCTGTTTCCTTGATGAAGATACAGCAGTGTGCCTTGATCTCTAGCGATGGAGAATGTTGCCCTAACCAGGTAATTTTGTATAACCTGTATTGCTGCTGTAATACCGGTTATGGGCACCAATAGGTTAAGGTTAGCCTGAGCTTCAAAGTCTGCATTACCTTCCTGCACTGTACAAGGAGCTCATTGCTTTATCACAGCTCCTCTCCCAAAGGCAACTTCTGTCCCTTCCCCCTTACAAGCTGTCACTCACTCACCACTACTTTGAGGGTAATGAGCAAAAGCATTGGCTTTCCCCGAGCAGACCGGGGCCTTCCCCACTAGCCAGCACACAAGACCAGGCCGGTGTTTAGGTGCATTCAAATACTGGTACTAAACCCCACCAATTCTTTACAGGAGGGACAATCTGTGTGTGACTTCACCTCGGGACTCAAGGCTGCCATGTCCATCCCTCGGCCACCGTATGGACCGTGACTTGTTTCACAACTCTCACGCAACAGCTCCGTGGGGGTGAGGGAAGCTCCTCTCAAAAAAGTGAGTTACAAAGCAATCTGTTCACAGCAGGGTCTCAGAGAGTCGGTCCCAATCCTGCTTCGCATCAAGCGCCACGCAACGTGACATGCCCACAGGTCTATTAACGGGACCATCCATCATCCAGGAGTCGGTCACGCCTGACAACGTGGTGCTCAGCAGACGCCTTTCAAAGGCAAGGCACGGTGCAGCACCAGGGCTTTGGTCTGCAGATCCACAGCCACGCTTAGCCCCGCAGACCTCACCTGTTGCCAGCACTGATGCAACTCCAAGATTTGCCAGCTGCTGGGTCGGTTCCTCTCATCTACATCTCATTGGCACAGATCAGGTCACCCACCTATATTAAATTATTCCCTCAATTTCTTTTGGATCTACACATTAGCTGGCTTCTGCCTACCCACTAAAACAAGGAGCTTGTTTTGGCAAGAAACCTGAGTAGGATAAAAAAGTAAATACAAAATAACCCAGGATGCTACGTTAAATATATTCTATATTTCTGACTCATACTTTTTGTTTTTAAAAAACATGAGCAAGGAAAAAAAAAAAAGTATTTTTTTGACACAGAGATTGATATTGTGTTTTGTAGTATTACTCATAACCAGGAAATTCTCCAATTCGGTTGGATTTTAAAAAAAAACCCAAAAACCAGAAAACTGAACAAAAAAACCCCACAAAAACTTTGGTAAATATCAGAATATTTAAATACTCAATAACAAAAGCCTCACTGTTGAGGCACATACCTGGATAAAACAGTGGATAATAAATTACAGCTAAATCAGACAGTAAATGGACTCTACACTTTAGGACAGGAATTTCCATCCTGGATCATGTATCAGGCAAGCATGTACCTTACATTTCAGGATATTTTCTGCAACAGTGTACAGGAAGAGACTTATGGGATGCGGTTGTTTATATTGGCAAATTCATTACAAGGAAGTTGCAGCTAAATGTGTTTTGCCTCTGATTCCTGTGGTTATCAGGTAATTCTCCTACAACGCACAGAAAAGACGCTGCTTCTCAATGTTCCAGTTCCCAGAAATAAGGTTTACAAAGAAAAATACCCATACCAAGTTTTAGACCATATTCTTAAGTTTGCAATGAATATTTCAACAAAAGGTGGTAAAGCCTGACAACTTGTATCGCGTCTTTTGGGCAGGGGAGACCGGCTGGTACATGCTCGTTCCTGACAGGTATTTGCTCATGTCAAGGCTCTTAGACGAAGTGCAGTGAGGCTTGCAAAATGCAGACTCTTGATTTTTTGCACTAGCTTCAAATCACACGCTGCATTTTAAACCTGCCTGCCAAGGGCCTGTTGAGGTATTAAACAGGAGGGACACCAAACCTGCCCCAACGTTGGGGTTTCTCTCCTTGGAAGAACTGACGACACGACAAAACAACGTTTCTTGGTATCTTCTCTCACCTGGTAACATTGGCTAACTTCCTGCTGCATCCAGAAATCAAAATACTAAACAAGTAGGTGAGAAAAGTAGGTGAGAAAATGCAGGGAAAGCGGAGCAAACAATAAAGCTCAAGATGCTGGTGGGAAGAGTTTAAAAAAAAAAAAAAAAAAAAAAAAA